CATGAAGGACAAGCAGCAGATCCCAGAGCTGCTGGATCAAGTGGACAAGATGAGACGGTCAGAACCTCACAGCTACACCAGAGAAACATTCGCTCGAGCTCAAATGGAAAAGATCATAGAACAAGAGGCTGAAATCAGGAAACTGAAACAGTCTGTTGTGATCACTGGTAAGTGTTTCACTGCTGCAACTTTCTATTTTAGCAGATTTTCCTAAACACTGTTGTGCACAAGGTAATAATTCAAAAACAGTGTCTTGTATGGCAATGATTAAACATATAAGTACAAGTGAAGACAGGTTTCTACAAAGTAATGTCAAGTAGTGAAAAAATCATAAAATGTAAAATAAGTGATTGTACAAATATTCACAACTTTTAAAGTGACTCATCTAATTCAACTCAGCTGCAGCTAGTTGATGCTAGAAGTCACACAGTTAGTAAAATGGATGATGTGAAGTCAGTGAATGTGTCTCAGTGATTGTAGTGTAAAGACTGGATATGGAAGGTCCAGTCACTGGTGGATCAGAACTCCTGGATAGAACGACACCATGAAGCCTGAAGAACACTCCAAGAACTCTGTGGAAAGGTTGTTGAGAAGCATCAGTCAGGGGACGATACAAGAACATTTACATCATCCAGTCCAGTTAAATCCATAGGAGACATTTGTAAATCTGTATAGATCAGGACATCCTCAAGAACTGACTGTCTGAGCGAGAAAGGGGCGAGTGAGGGAGGTCACCAAGACACCGATGACTCCTCTGAAGGAGTTACAAGCTTCAGACTGTTCATAGAACAACTGTTGTCTGTTCTTGACCAGTCAAAGCTTTATGGGAGACAAAGAGAAAAATACTGTTGATTAAAGTTCATATTAAGGCTGAGTGCTGTAGCCAACAGTCCATCTACTAAATACTGATGAGAAAGGGATTATGTTTTTTGCAGTCACTTATTTTACATTGAGTATTTTTAAATAGCTGACATTACTTTGTAGAAATCTGTTGTTCAGTATGACACGACAGAGTCTCTTGTTGTAAATTCTTCTCAAAAAAAGCCAAATTAAATTGACCATAATTCAATGTTGAAAAGCAATAAAAGGAGAAACTTTTCAAGAGTATATATTATATAATCATTGTCATTCTTGCTGTTTTCTGTTGCAGGTGATGACAAGCAGCAGAGCTCAGAGGTTCTCAGGATTGTGCTGATTGGGAAGACTGGCAGTGGAAAGAGCTCTTCAGGAAACACCATCCTGGGGACAAAACCGTTTAAAGCCAAATCAAGTCAAAAATCAATCACCAAACGTTGTCAGAAAGAAGTGGGTCAAGTGGACGGACGTCCTGTTGTCGTGGTCGACACTCCTGGACTGTTTGACACAAATACGTCTGAAGAAGACGTCCATGAAGAGATGGTGAAATGCGTCAGTCTTCTGTCTCCAGGACCACATGTCTTCCTGCTGGTGATACAGATCGGCAGATTCACACCAGAGGAGAAGGAGACAATCAAATTAATCAAGAAAGGTTTTGGAAAGAATTCTGACAAGTTTACCATCATTCTTTTAACTGGAGGAGATAAACTGGTGAAGGAAGGGCAGTTGATTGAAGATTACATTGAAGAAGAATGTGATGATTCATTCAAGAAGCTAATTGATGAGTGTGGAGGAAGATTCCACGTGTTTAATAATGAAGATAAAGACAATCGCAAACAAGTCAGTGAGCTGATAACAGAGATCGACACCATGGTGAAGGAAAATGGAGGAAAATGCTTCACCAACGAGATGCTTCAAGAAGCTGAAGCAGCGATACAGAAAGAAGTGAAGAGAATCTTGAAGGCGAAGGAAGAAGAGATGAGACGAGAGATGGAGGAGCTTGAGAGAAAACATGAAGAAGAAATGAACGAGATTAAAAGAAGAATGGAAAAAGAGAAAGAAGAAATTCAGCAGGAAAGAGACCTGAGGCTCAAAGAAATGGAGGAAAAGATCAACAAGGAGCGTGAGCAGAGAAAGAAGGAACAGGAAAATAGAGAGAAAGAAGAAAGGAAAAGAGNTAACCATTACATATACAGTTGTTTCCTGTGTTTTCTATAGCTTACATCCAGTCACTTTACGTATGTGATCTTTAGTTACCTTAAGCTCTAAGTTAATTCCCTTAACTTTATAAAACACTCTTGACTGATCACCAAGAGTAACAATTTATTAGAATTATTGTGCTGACTCTGAGATTATATCGCTCGACGAATAATTCAAAGGTTGGTTTTAAGAATTTTAATTAATGCAGTCACTTGCTTTGGTGTGGAAATAAGTACATCTTATTTTCCACACACTAAAACCCTACATACTCTTATCTCGCTGAAATCTTGACAGATTTACAAACGGTTTGGTTTCTTACAAACGTTATTAACGTGGCTACATTTCAAATTTTAAAAATACAAATCAAATACAAAATAATTAAAATATAAATTGTTGCTGTCCGTGAGAGTGGCAGCCAGTTGCAATGGCTCCTACCTACTTTCTATATTTTTAGCTATTTTCTTTGTTTTTCTTCTATATTTTTATTAAAATTATCACATAGTTGTACTAGATTAGCATGAATACGATGGCAATGCCAAGGAAGTTGTTTTTTTCTGTTTTTTACTTTTTACAAATTTTTAAAGTCCGCATCTGATGAGCCGTTGAGCCACGGCTTCATTGCTTTACACTCGAGAACAGCTGTTGGCGTTGAGTAGGATTCCTACAGGAAACTGCTGAGTGAAGATGGCAGGCTTTTGTGCAGCTTACCAATGCTCTAATCGCCGTTGTGTTGAAACCAAAGCCTGTGGGATCACCTTTCTGTCAGGATCCCTGTTCAGCCCTGGCCTGGCTCCCTTTTCTCTTCCTCTCTCCCTCACCCAGCCTCGGCCCGTCCGTCCGTCCGTCCGTCCCTCTCTCTCTCTCTCTGTCAGCCCTCAATCAACCACAATCACCCACAGCTGCAACTCTGAACTAACCTGCTCCCAATCACCTCCTTCCATTCACTGTGTCACAGCCGTCCGCCAGCCTGTCTCCTGCCTGCACTCCTCCAACCAGCCTGTCTCCTGCCTGCGCTCCCCCAGTCAGCTTTCTCCTGCCACCGGACTCCATCCTATATTCCCCAAGCTTGCCTACCCTTTTCCCCCCGCTGTAGTTTTAGTTCTGGTTTCTGTGAGTATTTCCGTTTCTGTTTTCTAGAATAGTCATTCAGTATTTTTTCCCTAATTTGTTTGTTGAACTGTTTTTTTTGTATTTCTTTGAGTTCTCCCGTTTATATGAAATTAGAAATCCTGGTTCAGTTTCCACAGAGTTCAGTTCACTTTCATATCTGTTCGTGTTTTGCTTGTTTTATTCATTTATTTAATAAACCTAGTTTTCATCTCAGTGCATTCCTGTCCACTTTGGTGTCTGCTCTTGGGACCAAACTTGAACTGTGACACTTTCACCTGTAAGATATTACAATACTATGACTATCTTTAGGATAATCGTTAGTTACATCGTGGAAGTTTGTACAAAACAGGTCCTGTTACAAAGGAACAGCGGGGCTGACATAATAGTATTGCAAGATTGTTGTTGACACAAGGCTTTTTAGAATATGTTTGTTTACACAATCACTGAATGTTTCCTTTGGACACCTTTTTAGAACTATTTTAATGTGGTTATTCTTAAAGTACATACATACGTACAATTACCCCCAAAATCTGATCATTTAGGTGTGTTTAGGTGTGTCCTCACCCTTAATGTAAAAGGAAATGAGGACTAAAGATGTTGACAATAATTTATATATCTGGGTACATTTCTCGCATTTTTAAGGTTTCCCAAAACCGGAGAGAGGAGGAGGAAGTGGGAACTTGCCCTAAGAAGGGAGGGTTTTGCTGCTACTGATAGGACAGTGCTCTGCAGTGGGCACTTCAGAGTGACAATTTTGACAGGATGGGGCTCCCGTTACTTTATATTCTTCTTGAGTTATTGTTAATCCTTATCATGTAATAAATATGTATTAATATTGATTTCACCATGTTTTTTGGCTCATTTCTTATCTCTGTCCCTGTGTATGCCTCTACAGTATTTTTTCCTACTACTTTTACCTATTTTTTAAAAATTACAAATAAATGTCACATTTATAAAAATATTACTAATATAACAACATTTTGAATTATTACTTGTTTAAACTAAAGATGTAGTAATTCTAATTATTTTTATCATATTAGTAATATTTCTATTATAAAAGTATACATATGCCATGTTGCCATCCTGTACGCTGACTTTTAGTAGCTCATATATTGATCTGACATAATACCTTTGTGTGTGTGTATTCATTGCACCAATCTGAGGTCCATTGGGGGAAATAAGTAGGTGATCCCAAACTTTGACTGGAAGCATACCATAATTATCCATAAGTGCAGTGTAATAACTACACCTCTGACGTTTATAACAAACCAAACTGTTTGAAAATCGGTAGAAAATTGAGCAAGTTATGTTAATTTGAAAAGTACATGCACCACTACAACACAATGTTATGGGTGAGCGAGCTGACCATATCAAAATGGCCGCCAGTGCAGATGTGACATCTAGCCTTTATTATATCTATGGCCAGTGTGCCGCTGCCCGCCGCTCGCTCGGTGCTCGGTGCTCGGGGATGCTGCCTGCCGCTGCAGAGATGGAGTTGGAGCACAAAAACGGCAAAGTGTCGGACAGAGTTTGAGACAAAGGGAGGGGGGCTTAGCGTCAGTCGTCCGGCTCCGCTCGCCGCTGGATGGGTGTTCGTCGAGGTTAAGGTCGCAGGACGTGAAATAAGACTTACGGTGTTAAAAACACCTCAGTTGGTTCAAGAGTGCAATATGGGGGGGTATTAAAACAGTTGACTGTGAGACAGTGGGGAGGACTTTAAAGTTGAAATGGTTGAAGGAATTTATATTTAAGCCAGATTCAATCTGGTTTCACATTCCTAAAAGTATTTTCAAGATGTTTGGTGGGTTTAATTTCCTGCTGAAATGTGACTTTGAAATGTCTAAAGTGCCTTTCAGAATATCTGAGTTTCATAAACAAGTTTTGCATCACTGGAAGATGGTGTCTACCCACAA